TTTTCTGTGCCCTCCCGTCCCTCCCAAGGGGGAACTGCAAAGCAAACTTGGTTGTTATTAATAAATTGCTTTGAGACCTGTGGCCGAGCTGTGCAGGAGAGGAGAGCACAGCTGGGAGACGAGTACTGTCTGTAGCAGTACTGCGTGGCGGCGGGGGGGGAATGACAGGACAGTGCTCTGCGAAAAGCATGCCAGCAGATAGAGAAACACGGGGATAAAAATGAGCAATCCTGGCACAGAGTGGGAACACGTGGAGAGGAATGGCAGTCATGCTTCGGGCTGGAGCTGGCGGTGGTTGCGACGGGACCTTCAGGGTTGTGACAGCAGCCAGGGGATCCTGGGATGGGGCTGCAGACCTCCCAGGCGCTTAAGGAAGGTTGATCATGAAGCATTTTATAGCTTATGAGGAGCTCGTAAGGCAGCCAGGACCCAGATAATGGCAGATTTTAATTACTTGGATATTGACGGACGTAATAAGTGTGGAGCAAACCACAAAGGGAAACCTGTGGCTAGAGGGGGGGGGGAGATTGATCTATGCACAGCATGTTAAATAACTTAAATCGTTCAGAGCCTCTCCTGGCCCCAGTTCCAGGAGCAGAGCCAAGTATGATAAATAAGGTCGGGGTTGGGAAGTGTCTAGAATCCAAATGTTTGTATTCTTGTTCGATTTCAAATATTCACGAGGACAAAAGCAGTAGCAGGAGTCGCAGCAAAGCACTTGGCTGCGTCTGCCTGGGGGCTGCGAGGGGCCCTGGGGAGCGGGGCCGGCAGCCCGGATGCCGGGGAAGCGGCTGCTGGTGCCCAGAGGCATCTCAGGAACTTCTGCACAGTGGTGGAAGGTGACCTGGGAGAGACCCGGGAAGGCGAGGAGGGAGCCAGGGGCTGAAGCAATCGAGGAGCAGGACGAGGGGCCCTTCCTTGGGTGCTGTTGAGAGCTCCAGCCGAGAGCTGGGAAACACCGCATGCACCAACAGGCCCCGCACTGCCCGCCCCGGGGCCACGGAAGGTTCTGGCTGCGAGGGCAGGGCAGAAGCTGAGCTGGGTCTGGGGGCAGCCCAGGACCATGCAGAGGTTGCTGCTGATATCTCCCCTTGCCCCGGGGAGGCAACCGGGCTGGGGAGTGTTTGCCATGCGTGCCCTGAAACGGGGTGGTGGGCACCCGGCAGACCTCGCTGCAGGGCAGCCAGGCGCCCTTCCTCCTTTCACCCTGCCACTGAGCTGCCACGGGGCTCTCAGAAAGGAAAGCGGCGTCCTCTCAGGCGGAGTAGGCAGAGGATTTTGTGATAAGGTGTGAGTGAGGACCCGGCTTGCCCGGGCTGCAGAGGAAAGGGATGCGGCGCTCGGACGGGTCTTTGTGTTGATGCATCAGCAGCCGGGTGCAGCCGACCAGGGCTCTCCTGAGAGTTGGTGGCATCGAAAGTGTGCCCAGGCAGGGTCTCCTCCCACCCCCTCCAGCCTGCGCTGGGCTCCCTTCTCCATCACATGTGTTGGACCATCAGATTCCATGGAGAAAATGTTATAAAAGGGGTAATGAGGTGTCAAGAAGGTGGACACCCCGGAACAGGGCTGGGAGTGCCGTGCCGGGGCTGGCAGGCAGCTCCCGAGCTGCAGATTCGCAATGGAAATGTGTGCATCAGCGCTGCAGGGGCAGGGCTCTGTTTGCAGTGATAACACAGTTTTCTGTGTGGGTGGTGCTAATTTGGGTCTGTAGCTGCTGTTCGGGTGGTGGCCGGGGGCTGCGGCAGCCCTCGGTTTTGCATCAGCTCCCTGGTCGGACCCAGCAGACGCTGCCGGCTTCGGGGAGGTGATGCCAAAATCCCATCCTCGTTCGTGTGGAGCCCGGGCAGAAATGAGCTGAACTCTGCCCATCCCACCGCAGGCAGCCTTGCAGGGTGTCCCAGGGGTCTGGGCTCTGACTGGCGCACAGCTCTCTTTCCGAATTCCCTTTGCTCTTCGTGGCCCTCGGTGGCAGAAGGGCCATCCCCCCCATGCGTCCCTGGCTCCCCCCATGCCTGCCGAGTCCAAGCTTTCAGGGCAGAGCAAGACCCCCGGTCTGCAGCCCCGTCTTGCTGCGTGGCTGCGGGCAGCGCGTCGCAGTGTGGTTCCTGACGGTGGCACGCGAAACGAATGCCAAGCACCGTGTTACTCTCAAATATTGTGGCATTTTTAGATGTAGGAGTAAATTATTGAAATGCCATGTGCTTCCAGTTGTAATGCACCTGAGACCTCAGATGTCTGCGTCTTGTGATCAATATTAGACAGCAGTGGTTTGGAAACAGAGAGAAATCAAAGCTCTCGTGAAGCAGCTGTCCCAGCCTGCCAAGGGAACAGACGGGAAGGGTCTGTGCCTCGTGGTGCGTCACTGTCTGGGTGCTGCGAGTGCGGCAGCATCCTCCCTGGATCCGACTGTGCGGGAGCTGAACTGACTAATGCGTGTGCTGGCGCTGGATGCGTCTCTCACAAAGCATTTGGCAAAGTGAACTCAAACGTGGGGAGCCCTTGCTACGCAGTTTGCCGACCTGGGTACGCCATGGTCTGACTCTGTTTCTGTGCAGTTTTTAGGCACCTTCCTCATCCCCCAAAGTCCTGTGTTGAAGGTGAGCGTGCCCACTGGTGCAGGTCACCCCTGGGTTCTCCAGAGCCCTTCGGCAGCTCTCCTCTGGTTTCCCAGCTCCCCTTGTCTCTCCCAAGGAGCCACGAATCCGCCCTCCTTCCCCCTGATGTAGAGCGTTGCTGTGATCCTGCCGGCCCAGGGCACGGCAGCGGCTGCAGGGAAGGGGCCCGGGGCCTCTGCGGGGGTTGCCA